CTACCCCTGTCCCCCCAATACAGTGACGGGACCCCGAGCCCGCTCCCCGGAACCCCAGGCGCCAGCATCACCTGGGACGCCACACCGCAGTGCCGGGTCTGTGGTCCCGGAGCAGGGATCTTCCTGGCGAGGCCCGAACAATCACCCCCCCACACCACCAAATTTGCCCAGGAGCTTCCTCTGCAGATTGGGGGCTTTGGGAGGGGGCTTTGGGAGTGAGAAACTGTTCTCTCTCAGCGTTCCAAATCGCCACGGGATTTCTTCCATCAGTACCTGCCAGGATAGCCGAGCTGAGGCCGGTCTCCGCGCCGGCCCGCTCTGGTCCGCCGGGTCTGGGGCGCCCAGCCGGCCTTACAGCCGAAGGCGGGTGAGCCGGGTCAGCGAAACCTTGGCTTACGCCATGGTCCCAGCCGACCCAAGACCTCCGTCGTGCACCCCCACGTCGGGCATGGCTGCCTAAAAATGAACTCCATTCCACCTCCTCTCCGCCCCCACCCAACGCAGGGCCCACTCAGGCAAAATTGGGGCCAGTTTCAGACCTGGTGCTGAGGCCTGAGCTATGCACCACGTTGGGCCCAGGTTGCTCCAAAGACTCTCACCCGCCTTCCTTCGGCACATTCTCATTTGCTAAATCCGCATTGTGTTCATGTTTGATATCATTTCCAACAAAACGGAGATGGATAGATAGGCTGATATTCTTAATTGTGGACTTCGCAGAAAACCTTTCTTTTTAAGTCGTCCCACCGTGACAACAAAGCGATTAAGACGTTTTCATTCCGGGAATACCATTTTCAATTGCTAGATTTTATGCTACAACGTCTTATTTGCAGACTATTTTGTGTCTGATTTAATCTATAACCGAAAACATAATGTATTAAGTGAATACATATTTGCTCAGTTGATAAGCTTTTTTAATATTTATTCGGAGAGCTTTTGCATTGTAAATAAACGGTATTACACAAAGGGTTCCCTTTGTCTCACAACTGCATACAAAGGGGTTTGGGGCTCCCTTCCCTCTGGGGATCGCCAGCTCTATCCCCCGGTCTAACAAACACTTCGGCTCAGGCTCACCGCTGCTCAGGCCTGCAAACCCAGCGCCGGGCCGCCAGGCCCGTTGAACGCTGGGGCGAGGGCTGCTCGCGCCGGGGTCAGGGGAGGGGCTGCCTGGGCCAGGCGAGGGGCTGGTGAGCCCAGCCTCGGCCGGCGCCTCTCGAGCCCCGGAGGGCGCCAGGCGGGACAAAGGGAAAGAAGGAAGGGGAGGGAGGTCAGGAACCCACGGCTTCAAAGGCTCCGAGGGCCGCAGAGCGGCCAGGGGGTGCGCGGCTTCCCAGTGGCCTCCCGGGAGTCGTGTGTGCTGTGCTTTTGTTTTGTGGGGTTTTCCCCTAATAAAAAAATCTCAAAGTTGTAGAGAAAGCGCGAGCTGCCCGCGATTCTCGGGACGCGGGCTCAGCTACGGCTAGCAATTTTAATCTCCACCCCCTGCGGCGGATCGCAGGCGCGATTGTTCCACCAACCCGAAGGACCTTTTACGCAGACGGGATGGGATGCTGTGGCCTGGCAGTGCCGCCACACTGCTCACTGGGCGAAAAGGGGCTTTTCTTTGTGTTCTCTCCTCCCGGGGAGAGGCTGTGCCGCGCCTCCTAGTCGGCCTGCGCCGGCTCCTGGGGCCTGGGGAACCAGAGCCGGCCAGTAAGCCGGGCGATTACCCGAGACCACAGCGCGAAGGCTTCGAGTCCGCTGCTCCGGAGGGGTGGCGCCGCCACCCGCCGAGTGCAGGGGCTGGGCCCCCCCCCCCCCCCGCTCCCCCC